GAATGATGATTGTTGTATGAAATGTGTATTAAGTGGGTATGAAATGTGTATTAAGTGAGTTTGAAATGTGTATTTAGTGAGTATGAAAAGTGTTTTGTAATGTACTGTCTGAATGATATTTGTATGAAAAAATAAAGACAAGTGGGTATAATTTTGTTGTTATTATAATGATTTTTATATATGAACCTATCCCTTGCGAGAGTCCAAAGAGAACGATAGGAAGACCGCAACTTGAACGCTGAAAGGGGTTTGCTGAGTGAAATTCAAAAGGTTTAAAGTTACCTGCAGTAGATGTCGTCAAGTTGGCCACAACAGAAAGACATGTTCAAATTATCCTGTTCAAAACTAATGACTGTTTATTTTGTTGGTTATATTAATGTTTTGTTTTGATATGAAACATAATTGGTTTGAAGTGCATTATAGCTTAGTGTTTAATATATTGTTCATTCTTTATACACTGTTCATTCAGTAATCATACAGAATGCATACTGTTACAAATAAAATTTATTCTAGTTTAAAGATATTGTATATATTAGTGACAATTATAAGAAGGTAATTACGGAGTACATTTGGTATCCCGAGTATTTAATGTAAGTTATCATGAATATTAATTAGGTTTCCAATTGGTGTAATATTATAAATAAAATTATAACAAACTGCATGCCAATTGTATTCATGTTTCATTCCAACTCTAGCTTAAGTTATGGTCATACACATATTAATCAAATTTAATTCAGTTTTCATTCAAACAGCATGTGTAGAATAGAAAATAATCAAATGTGAAAACACAATTCATAACATTTGTCTATAAAAATCATATCACGATTCATACAATATCCAAGATTTAATATTAAAGTCATAGTCATATACATATCAATTAGATTTCATACACGTTTCATCCAATGATTGTACAACTTAGAAACACACTAATACTTTAAAATAGTGTATCCGAAATGTACGAAGATTGTATAATACTGGTTACACCACGTATATAAAAGATTGAAAGTTTCGAAGATCTCACCTGAAAGAGCAGTCACTCGCTCTAGGTCGACCCGTTGAAAAATTTCTCGCCTCCTTTTCTTCTTCTTTCTTTTGCAGATTATTTACTACCCTAACTATTTACAGACTAATTATAAAAGTGTAAAAAGTGACCCACTATTAATTTTAATGCTATCTTCTATAACCACCAACTAAGTATATTATTAAAACTACCCCACTAATTTCATAATTGTAGTTATGAATAGTCCAAAATATCCATTTAGAATCTATCGGAAAGTATTTTTTGAAATAAAAATCTCTAGTACTCAAAACGACCAAATGGGTCGTTACAATGTGACATTTTTAGAAAAAATCACTAGTTTGACAATTGATATCATTTTCATACCAATTTAATTATTCATACCATATGAAGATTCAAAAGAAAATCTGACAAATGTGAAAACACAATTCATAACATTTGTATATAAAAAT